AAAGATAAGGAGATTCAACCGGCTGCCTGCGAGGCACAGGTGCGCCGGCTGATATAGTAATCTAAGTTTATCCTCTTATTAAATGATACAGGTAAATCCTCCACATAATTGGGCTAATTAATCACCCTTTTCTGTTAATAGGAAGGGAGAGAGAGAGATGATAACAATTGGTCACCGATACCTACTAGTTTCAGTTTGAAGTCTCGGAACCATCAAATATTTGAACGTGCAGGCCGTCGTCTTTTAGGAGCTTTAGGGGAGAAAAATAGAATTGAACATTAAAATAAAATTTGAAATAATCTGAATTAATTCTAAAGAAATGTCTTATTCTATATTAATAGTTATAAAGTTAAAAAAAATACCACATAGACGTATTATGTAGTCCTTATCAAAAAAATAATTTTTAAAACTTTCAAGTCATTGATAATTATAAAATTAACAAAAACCATCTTCAGCCAACCATCTTGTTTTACAAATGAGAAAATAAGGCCCAGTTAAGAGGGCTTGATCAAACTTGTATAAAAAGGATAGACTCTAAGTGGTCGGCATTAGAAGTAAGAAAATGATGATGATGAATCCGTATTATAAAGCTATACACTACCAAATATCCAACTCAGGTTGCCAAGATCCAATCACTCTTTAGTATCACATTTGATAACTCAGTTCTAACTCATAAAATTTAAGGGACTATTTCTTAGTGAGTGAAGCACACAGAGAATATAAATACCAAAAAATATTTAATGTGGAAGAAACTTTCTTCCACCATTACATGATGGTTTATGACAAAAAGTGACTACAACCAAGATCTTCTGCTTTCCCTTTATAGGAAGAAAACTTTTCACCGTTAACATGATGGTTTACTGAGAAAAAAGTAACTACAACCAAGATCTTCTGTTTCCATTTATAGCGTCTGTTACCCAATCTTTAAATATTTTACAGATGATAAGGTCTATAATGCAATAACAAAATATATCCCAGCTGGGCAACATAGCAAGACCCTGCCTTTACAAAATACATTTTTTAAAAATTAGCCGGATGGTTGTGCATGCTGTACTCCTGGCTACTTGAGAGGCTGAGGCACATTATACAATATAAAAAAATCTTCTGTTGGCCGGTGAGGTGGCTCACGCCTGTAATCTTAGCACTCTGGAGGCCGAGCAGGAGGATCGCTCAAGTCAGGAGTTTGAGCAAGGAGCCTGAGAGAGAGAGACCCGTCTGTACTAAAATAGAAGAAATAATGGCCAACTAAAAATATAAAAAAAAATTAGGCCAGGCATGGGGCACATGCCTGTAGTCCAGCTACTTGGGAGGGCTGAGGCAGGAGGATCGCCTGAGCCCAGGAGTTTGAGTGCTGTGAGCTAGGCTGACAGCACTAGCTAGGCACTCTAGCCCAGGCAAACACAGTGAGACTTTGTCTCAAAAAAAAAATCCATTTCATGTACTTTGTCAAAAATCATTTGCATAGAGATGTTATTATTTAATAACATTTTAACAACATTTAATATCTGTGGGATCTGTAGTTATATTCCCTTTTTCATTCTTTTTTTTTTTTTTTTTTGAGACAGAGCCTTACTCTGTTGCCTTGGCTAGAGTGTTGTGGCATCAGCCTAGCTCACAGCAACCTCAAATTCCTGGGCTCAAGTGATCCTTCTGCATCAGCCTCCCAAGTAGCTGGGACTACAGGCATGTGCCACCATGCCTGGCTAATTTTTTTCTATATATTTTTAGTTGGCCAATTAATTTCTTTCTATTTTTAGTACAGACGGGGTCTCTCTCTTGCTCAGGCTCTCTTGCTCAAACTCCTGACCTTGAGCGATCCTCCTGCCTCGGCCTCCCAGAGTGCTAAGATTACAGGCGTGAGCCACCTCGCCTGGCCAACAGAAGATTTTTTTATATTGTATAATGTGCCTCAGCCTCTCAAGTAGCCAGGAGTACAGGCATGCACAACCACTCCTGGCTAATTTTTTAAAAAAATGTATTTTGTAAAGGCAGGGTCTTGCTATGTTGCCCAGCTGGGATATCATTTTTGTTATTGCATTATAGACCTTATCATCTGTAAAATATTTAAAGATTGGGTAACAGACGCTATAAATGGAAAGCAGAAGATCTTGGTTGTAGTTACTTTTTTCTCAGTAAACCATCATGTTAACGGTGGAAAAAAGTTTTCTTCCTATAAAGGGAAAGCAGAAGATCTTGGTTGTAGTCACTTTTTTGTCAGTAAACCATCATGTAATGGTGGAAGAAAGTTTTCTTCCAACATTAAAAATATTTTTTGGTATTTATAATTCTCTGTGTGTCTTCACTCACTAAGAAATAGTCCTTAAATTTTATGAGTTAGAACTTGAGTTACTCAAATGTGATACTAAAGAGTGATTGGATCCCTTGGGCAAACCTGAGTTGGATATTTGCAGAATGTGTATAGCTTTATAACTACGGATTCATCATCATCATTTTCTTACTTCGTAATGCCACCACTTAGAGTCTATCCTTTTATACAAGTTTGATCAAGCCTCTTAACTGGGCCTTAATTTTCTCATTTGTAAAACAAGATGGTTGGGCTGAAGATGGTTTTTGTTAATTTTATAATTATCAATGACTTGAAAGTTTTAAAAATTTATTTTTTGAGTAAAGGAACCATAGTGAATCTATGGCTATTTTTAAAACGAAATACTTATAGATAAAGACATTTTTAGAATTAAATTTCAGAATTATTATTCAAATTTTATTTTTAATGTTCAATTCTATTTTTTCTCCCCTAAAGCTCCTAAAAGACGACGGCCTGCACGTTCAATATTTGATGGTTTCCGAGACTTTCAAACTGAAACTAGTAGGTATCGGTGGACCAATTGTTTATCATCTCTCTCTTCTCCCTTCCTATTAAACAGAAAAGGGTGATTAATTAGGCCCAATTATGTGGAGGATTTACCTTATTTAAAAAATGAAGGTACTGGCCAGGCGCAAGGGGCCTCACGCCTGTAATCCTAGCACTTTGGGAGGCCTTGGCGGGTGGATCGCTCAAGGTCAGGAGTTTGAAACTAGCCTGAGCAAAAGTGAGACCCCGCCTCTACTATAAATAGAAAGAAATTAATTGGCCAACTCTCTCTCTCTCTCTCTATCTCTCATATATAAGATAAACATATATACATCATATAAAGTATTAAGTGTATAGTAGTATATATGATAGTATACGCCGGACGCATGGTGGCATGCCTGTAGTCCCAGCTACTCAGGAGGCTGAGGCAGGAGGATCGCTTGAGCCCAGGAAGTTTGAGTATACTTATGTGAGCTAGGCTGACATCATGGTACTCTACCTGGGCAACAGAGTATCTCAAAAAAAAAAAAAGCTAAATATAATAATAAAAAGAAGTTACTAAGTTACTAATTCAGGCCGGGCGTGGTGGCTCACCCTGTAATCCTAGCACTCGGAGGCCGAGGCGGGTGATGCTCGAGGTCGAGAGTTCAGAAACCAGCACCGGAGATAAGTGATATTCCATTGTGGTTTTGATTGCATTTCCCTGATGATTAGAGAGTGATGCATTTTCAATGTTTGTTGGCTATTATTCTGTCTTCTTTTGAAAAGTTCTGTTCATGTCCTTTGCCCACTTTTTGATAGATTGTTTGATTTTTTTCTTGCGATTTTCCTGAGTTCTATATAGATTGATTAACAGCCCTTTATCAGATGTGTACTTGCAAAATTTTCTCTCATTCTGTGGTTGTCTGTTGCTTTCTGACATTTCTTTGGCTGTGCAGAAGAGTTCTATTTGGAACTCTCACTATTGCCATTTTTTACCTCTGTATTTGACATACAGTAAGGAGAGGAGGATGAGATGATTCATACAGTTAGGAAGTATTCTTTTTTTTTTTTGAGACAGAGTCTCGCTTTGTGCTAGGCTAGATGGTGCCGTGGCATCAGCTAGCTCACAGAACCTCAAACTCCTGGCTCAAGCGATCTCCTGCTAACCTCCGAGTAGCTGGGACTACAGGTTGCACCACCATGCCTGGCTAATGTTTTAATATTTGTGGAGACAGGAGTCTCTGTTGCCCAATGTGGTCTTGAACTCCAGCCTCAAGCTATCTTCCAGCCGTGGCTCCCAAAGTGCTAGATTGCAGGTGTGAGTCACTGAGCCCAGCTTTGTAGTTTATAATAAGATTAAAAGTCAGTTTTTTCATAATGTTTTATGAAGCATAGAAATGATTAACTTCATTAAATCTTGACCCTTGAGTATACATTTTAAAAGTATTCTGTTTGAGCCGGCATGGTGGCTCACGCCTGTAATCCTAGCACTCTGAGAGCTGAGCGGAGGATTGCTCGAGTCAGGAGTTCGAAACCAGCCTTAGCAGGAGCGAAACCGTCTCTAACTATAAATAGAAAGAAATAATTGGCCAACTAATACATAGAGAAAAATTAGCGGCATGGTGGCGTATGCCTGTAGTCCCAGCTACTCGGAGGCTGAGGCAGAAGGATTGCTTGAGCCCAGGAGATTGAGGTGCTGTGAGCTAGGCTGAGCCACGGTGCTCACTCCAGCCTGGCACCAAAGTGAGACTCTGTCTCAAAAAAACCCAAAATTCGTTTGAAATAGGATTATATATCAGACACTTCTGCATACTAAAGTTCTATGGTTATGTTAAGGGAAAGCAATTGATTGTGAGCTGAACTGGCAGCTTTTTCATAGAATATTCTTTACTTGAAAGATTGCCGATAAACTGTTATTGAGACTTGAACATTTGCAGATATTTTCTTGAAAATGAACAAAGTCAGCTGTGACCGTATTTGTTACCAGTGCTTGACTGAATGATTGATCAATTGATTTTATACGGAACACTTCACAAATTTCATGACATCTTGCACCAAGGCCATGCTAATCTTCTCTGTATCATTGCAGTTTTGGTATATGCTGCTGAAGCAATCACTGTTACAATGATTTACAAAAGAACATTCAGGGAAAAATTAGGATTTTAGAAAATTTTTATCCGTTATTGTGAGCTTGGTGCCGTGCCCTTCCAGTACTTAAAGACTTTCTAATAAGATCAGTGGTGACATTAAAACAGATTTTTTTTTTTTTTGAGACAAAGTCTCACTGTGTTGCCTGGGCTAGAGTGCCTAGCTAGTGCTGTCAGCCTAGCTCACAGCAACCTCAAACTCCTGGGCTCAGGCGATCCTCCTGCCTCAGCCTCCCAAGTAGCTGGACACAGGCATGTGCCACCATGCCTGGCTAATTTTTTTCTATATATTTTAGTTGGCCAATTAATTCTTTCTATTTTAGTACAGACGGGTCTCTCTTCTCTCAGGCTCTCTTCTCAAACTCCTGACCTTGAGCGATCCTCCTGCCTCGGCCTCCCAGAGTGCTAAGATTACAGGCGTGAGCACCTCACCTGGCCAACAGAAAGATTTTTTTATATTGTATAATGTGCCTCAGCCTCTCAAGTAGCCAGGAGTACAGCATGCACAACCATCCTGGCTAATTTTTTAAAAAAATGATTTTGTAAAGGCAGGGTCTTGCTATGTTGCCCCAGCTGGGATATCATTTTGTTATTCGCATTATAGATTATCATCTGTAAAATATTTAAAGATTGGGTAACAGACGCTATAAATGGACAGAAGATCTTGGTTGTAGTTACTTTTTTCTCAGTAAACATCATGTTAACGGTGGAAAAAGTTTCTTCCTATAAAGGGAAAGCAGAAGATCTTGGTTGTAGTCACTTTTGTCAGTAAACCATCATGTAATGTGGAAGAAAGTTTTCTTCCAACATTAAAAATATTTTTGGGTATTTATAATTCTCTGTGTGTTTCACTCACTAAGAAATAGTCCTTAATTTTATGAGTTAGAAACTGAGTTACTCAAATGTGATACTAAAGAGTGATTGGATCCTTGGGCAAACCTGAGTTGGATATTTGCAGAATGGTATAGCTTTATAACTACGGATTCATCATCATCATTTCTTACTTCCTAATGCCGACCACTTAGAGTCTATCCTTTTATACAAGTTTGATCAAGCCTCTTAACTGGGCCTTAATTTTCTCATTTGTAAAACAAGATGGTTGGGCTGAAGATGGTTTTTTGTTAATTTTATAATTATCAATGACTTGAAAGTTTTAAAAATTTTTGAGTAAGAACCATAGTGAATCTATGGCTATTTTAAAACGAAATACTTATAGATAAAGACATTTTAGAATTAAATTTCAGAATTATTTCAAATTTATTAATGTTCATTCTATTTTTCTCCCCTAAAGCTCCTAAAAGACGACGGCCTGCACGTTCAATATTTGATGGTTTCCGAGACTTTCAAACTGAAACTAGTAGGTATCGGTGACGCAATTGTTTATCATCTCTCTCTTCTCCTTTCCTATTAAACAGAAAGGGTGATTAATTAGGCCAATTATGTGGAGGATTTACCTTATTTAAAAATGAAGTTACTGGCCAGGCGCAAGGGCCTCACGCCTGTAATCCTAGCACTTTGGGAGGCTTGGCGGGTTGATCGCTCAAGTCAGGAGTTGAAACTAGCCTGAGCAAAAGTGAGACCCGCCTCTCTTACAAAATAGAAAGAATTATATGGCCAACTCTCTCTCTCTCTCTCTATATATATATATATAACTATATAGTTTTTATGTGTGTATATATAGATATTAGCCGGGCATGGTGGCACATGCCTGTAGTCCCAGCTACTCAGGAGGCTGAGGCAGGAGGATCGCTTGAGCCCAGGAGTTTGAGGTTACTGTGAGCTAGGCTGACATCATGGTACTCTAGCCTGGGCAACAGAGTATCTCAAAAAAAAAAAAGCTAAAAAAAAAATAATAATAAATGAAGTTACTAAAGTTACTAATTCAGGCCGGGCGTGGTGGCTCACGCCTGTAATCCTAGCACTCTGGGAGGCCGAGGCCGGGTGATGCTCGAGGTCAGGATTCGAAACCAGCGAGCAAGAGCGAGACCAATCTCTACTATAATAAGAGAGAAATTAATTGGCCAACTAATATATAATAGAAAAAATTAGCCAGGCACTGTGTTGCATGCCTGTAGTCCCAGCTACTTGGGAGGCTGAGGCAGCAGGATTGCTTGAGCTCAGGAGTGTGAGGTTGCTGTGAGGTAGGCTGACGCCACGGCACTCACTCTAGCCTGGGCAACAAAGCGAGATTCTGTCTCAAAAAAAAAAAAAAGTTACTAATTCAATCTATTTGTTATTAACTCCTTCCTGAACTGAATTGTTCCAAATTCTAACCTGTCTGGTTATAGAAATAATAAGGGATATGGAGATTAAGCTGACTATAATTAAATAAAAAAACTGATGTCCCTCAGGATCCTGATACCTGTTATGAAAGGAATGACTGTAATGAAATTGTTATCATAAGAGATTGAAAAATTGAAGAAAAAGCCACACCACCCAAAGTAGCCATTGTTAACATTTGGCTACAGTTATTTGGAATAGGTTTATATCTTTTGGTGTAGTAAGTTAGAATAAGCATCTTGGTCATATACATAGAGGATTTACTATTGATTTAGCAATGGAATCCTAAAGAAAGGACAGTTATGTTAAGAGAATATATGAGAAACTCTTAGACCATACTTAATTTTATTTATATATAATTTTTGAGACAGTGTCTCACTTTGTCACTTAGGCTAGAGTACAGTGACACTGTCATCGCTCACTGTAGCCTCACACTCCTGGGCTCAAGCGATCCTCTTACTTCAACCTCCTAAGTAGCTAGGACTAGAGGTGTGCGCTTCCATGTCTGACTAATTTTTAAATTTGTTGTAGATATGGGGTCTCACCACGTTGCCCAGGTGGGTCTCAGAACTCCTGGCCTCAAGTGATCCTCCCACCTGGGCCTCCCAAAGTGCTAGGATTTCAGGTGTGAGCCACTTCACCTGGCCTCATGCTTGATTTTATAATTGATTTATAATGAGTTAATTGAGGCACAGACAGGTCTTGAAACTTTGGAGAGAATTGAAGGGGAACCTAACCTGACTAAAGTAATCTAGAGACTCCTTTGCCCTTTCATTGGATGGTGACAGCAGTGGTCGTCATCTCTATTGCAAGAATCTTTAACGATTGAGAATGTAGATAAAAACAGGTGAATTTAGATTACTTTCAGAACTAGGTAAATGGGGATAAAAGTTTTCTGCTATGCTGAAGTTAGTTTTTGAATATGTGAAGGAAATTATTTTGATTAGGTGACTATTTTTAATTAATTTAATTATCTGCATTTATCCTTTGGATAAGGAACACTGCCAAGTCTTAAGATTCCTTCCTTACCCCCTTTTGTATTTTTTTTTTCAGAGTCAGCACTAGATCTTTCAATTTGAGTTCAAGCATATTTCTCAGTAATTCTTTCAGTTAATACAAGGTTGGTTTTTTTAATGAGATTCATAACTTTTATGGCTAATTAAAACTTTTTCATTCTCCTATGTTACAGTTCGACAAGAACAGGAATTAAGAAATGGAGGAGCAATAGATAAGAAACTAACTACCCTTGCAGATCTTTTCCGGCCACCCATTGACCTGATGCATAAAGGCAGCTTTGAAACAGTAAGTTGTTGCAGAGTCTGTGCCTCAAGTATGAATCCTTTTGCATTTTCAATGCTATTTTTTGTCTGTTTAAGAGCAAAAAAATTTTTTTTAGTATATGGGGAATTGCATCCTAGTAAGTATTTCTGTGTGATATACATACTGGTTACATTTAATTATTTTTCTACCAGCAATATATGAAATATATTTCTTAAATTAAAAAAAATTTTAATTATGGGTACATAGTTGTATATCTTTGTGTAGGGTACATATGATGGTTTTATACAGGCATATAATGTGAATTAATCAAATCAGAGTAATTGGGATATCTATCACCTCAGGCATTTAACATGTCTTTGTGTTAGGAACATTCCAGTTCTACTCTTTTAGTTATTTTGTTTTATTATTAATTTTTTTTATTTTTTATCGCCCTGTGTCTGCATGTGGAAGTTATTTTAAAGTATACCCTAACTTATGTGAAATATATTTCTACCAGAGGTATGTGAGATTGCTTGTTTGGTGAAATCCTTTTATTAGTCTTGTGGTATCATTTTAGAATCTTTGCCATTTTGATAACTTCAAAAGAAATCTTTCAGCCGGACGAGGTGGCTCACGTCTGTAATCCTAGCACTTTGGGAGGCCGAGGCGGTTGCTCAAGGTCAGGAGTTCGAAACCAGCCTGAGCAAGAGCGAGACTCGTCTCTACTATAAATAGAAAGAAATTAATTGGCCAACTAATATATATAGAAAAAATGAGCCTACTGCCGTAGGATTGCTTGAGCCCAGGAGTTTGAGGTTGCTGTGAGCTAGGCTGAGCTAGGCTGGCACTCACTCTAGCCTAGGTAACAAAGTGAGACTCTGTCTCAAAAAAAAAGAAATCTTTCTGTAACTACTCCTGAGAATAATGTGTGATGGAGTATTAGCCATTCGTGACTTGTTTGTAGGTATCTTTTACCTATATTTCTATGGGGATCCTAGTGTGTTTTAAAAGAATATCTCTGTAGCTTCAGGTCTTGGTTTTATCTTGGCCAAATGTGGTTTTTTTATTTTGGTAATCTTTGGGAACCAGTCTCTGTCATTTAAGAGGAACATAGTATTTGTGAAATGAATGAGTTTAGTTAAGATTTTTTTGTTTTGTTTTGTTTTGAGACAGAATCTTGTTCTGTAACTCTGGGTAAGGTGCTGTGGCATCATCATAGCTCACTGTAACCTCAGATTCTCAGGCTTAAGTGATATCCTCCTGCCTCAGCCTTCTGAGTAGCTGGGACTATAGGGGTGTACCACGTTGCCTGGCTGATTTTTCTATTTTTAGTAGAAAGAAGGTGTTGCTCTTGCTCAGGCTGGTCTCAAACTCCTGAGCTCAAGTGATCCTCCCAGAGTGCTAGGATTACAGCTGTGAGCCACCTTTCCCAGCCCCTAGTTAAGATTTTAGATAATCTTCTATTGAAGTTTTCGAACAGTTTGCTTTTGTGTGTTAGCTAGCTTGTTAACCTCCTTTTGAATCACAGTAGCATTTCCATAGATGTAAATCAATTAAATTTCAGCGAATTCTTATCTGTAAGAATAAAGTAGACTAGAGAACCACAAAAGTGATATATATTAACTACATACTTGAAAATGAATTAAGTTTTTAAAAAGTTTGTCCTTTGACATGCTCTTACACTGGCATAAATAAAATATTTAGGATAAGCAATTTAATTGTAAGCTTGCCCTCTAGTTTTAATCTTCTGAATTGTAAAATCTCAAGGTGTTTGACTGCATGTAACAAAACCTAAATGATTATGGTGTGACTGAATAAGGGTTTATTTTTGTCATGTACTAAGCCTGAAGTTGACGGAATCATTTGTGTTTATTCATCAGCTCAAAGATGTCAGGTTAGATGTCTTCCTGAGTTTTATTAATTTTTCTCTCATGGCTTTACCATGGCAGCTGCCTATCCTTTATAGCATTCTAGTGATAATAATAGCAGTATGAAAGGCAAAAAGGATCTGAGTTTGTTTTGGCATGTTTTCTATTTTTATTAGCTTCTGAGTTGCTCTAAGTCTTTTAAAATTAATTAATTGATTACTTTTAAGACAGAATCTCACTCTGTCGCCCTGGGTAGAATGCAGTGATGTCATCATATTTCAGTGCAACCTCAAACTCCTAGGCTGGAGCAATCCACCTGCCTCAGCCTTGTGAGTAGCTGGGACTACAGGTGACCACCACCACACCCAGTTAATTTTTTCTAGTTTGTTAGAGATGAGGTCTCTCTCTTGCTCAAGCTGGTCTCAATCTCCTGAGCTCAAGCAGTCCTCCTGCCTCAGCCTCCCAGAGTGCTGGGATTGTAGGCATTGAGCTGCTGCGCCCTGCTCTTAAGTCTTAATGAAGTAATTGAGCTTGATTTAATTTGGTCTCTTTGGACTATAAAAAGCAGGTACTCTCATTTGTGGTATTGGGTTTTAAAAAAAAAAAAAGCAGGTACTCTTCTGCTTCTTCAGTATGAATCTCTTTAGATATTGTCCTCTGAATTTTAAGTTATATCACCTTTTTTCTTTGTATTTCATTGCCTGTATTGTTGCAGCAGTCTATTCATCTTTTTCCACTGATTAATATTAAACCATCTACAGCTGCACTCCCCAACCCTCAGGCCTTGGCCCAGTACTGGTCCAGGGCCTATAGGAAACCTGTTAAGCTCCGCACCATCCTCTCTGATCTTCCTACCCTAAGTTTGTGGAAAAATTGTCTTCTATGAAACCAGTCTGGTGCCAAAAAGGTTGGGGACTGCTGATCTATGAATCTTTCTATTTTTTTTTTCTTTTTTAACTTTTTTTTTTTGAGACAGAGTCTCACTTTGTTGCCCAGGCTAGAGTGAGTGCCATGGTGTCAGCCTAGCTCACAGCAACCTCAAACTCCTGGGCTCAAGCAAGCCTCCTGCCTCAGCCTCCCGAGTAGCTGGGACTGCAGGCATGCGCCACCATGCCTGGCTCATTTTTTCTATATATATTAGTTGACCAATTAGTTTCTTTCTATTTATAGTAGAGACGGGGTCTTGCTCTTGCTCAGACTGGTTTTGAACTCCTGACCTTGAGCAATCCACCCACCTCGGCCTCCCAGAGTGCTAGGATTACAGCTGTGAGCCACCTTTCCCAGCCCCTAGTTAAGATTTTAGATAATCTTCTATTGAAGTTTTCGAACAGTTTGCTTTTGTGTGTTAGCTAGCTTGTTAACCTCCTTTTGAATCACAGTAGCATTTCCATAGATGTAAATCAATTAAATTTCAGCGAATTCTTATCTGTAAGAATAAAGTAGACTAGCTGGGACTGCAGGCATGCGCCACCATGCCTGGCTCATTTTTTCTATATATATTAGTTGACCAATTAGTTTCTTTCTATTTTTAGTAGAGACGGGGTCTCACTCTTGCTCAGGCTGGTTTCGAACTCCTGACCTTGAGCAATCCACCCACCTCGGCCTCCCAGAGTGCTAGGATTACAGGCGGGAGTCACCGTGCCCGGCAGCATATTTTAATATAGTTCCTTTTTTACTTTATTCTAAGTATATATCTCTAATCCTTCATGCTTTCCTGATCAGGCTGGGAGAGGTGGGAGAAGTGTTAGTTAGTCTCCTACTGTTTTGCCCTTGAGTCTCCATTTTATGGCTTGGAAATGTTGATTTCAGAGCAACCTAATAGATTCCTTATTTGTTCCATGGTCCACGCTCATCTCCAGAACTTAACTGTCATAATTGATATATTTAGTGAGATTGGGTAGGACTCTTCCTTTTTTTTATGATATATCTTTAAGATGTACAATGTGATAGTTTGAATGTACATAGTAAAATCATTAGTACAGTCAAGCAAAAGCAAATTAACCTATCCATCACCTTTCATAGTTATCTTTTTTGTGTGTGTGGTAAGAGCACCTAAAATCTATTTTCAGCACATTTTCAGTATACAGTACAATATTATTAACTATAGACCTAATGCTGTACCATTAGATCTCTAGACTTTAATTCAAGACTTCTTTGTATCATCCAAATATTGCTGCTTTGTCTGAAAGTCATGTCATCTTTGGACCTTTCCTTTTAGCAGTAATTTCTCAACAGTGTCCTCATTATGGATAGCACCATTTCTAAGTTTCTGTTGTTGGTATAAGTTTTCTCCCCACTGTAAGCTTCCTGAGGGCAGGGATTTTTGTGTTTTTTTTTTTTTTCATTTTTTTAACTGCTATTACTTCAGCATATCTATAACTGTACCTAAGACACAGTAGGTAATAAGTATTTGTTGAATGAATGAGTCTGAATTAATGAAAGCATGAATGTGAATAAACAAATATTAAAAAAAACCAGCAAATGATTTTTCATCATTTTTATACTCTGGGCTTTTAATCATTTTCAGTTTTATATAGTTTATTATCCGTGTTGTTGGAATAGACTTGCTCTCCAGTCTGTCTCTATAACGTTTGTTCATTTTTTTTTTTTTTTGGTTTATTCTCAGATACTTTTTCTTTAGTTAAGGCAATTTAATTCTTCATTTGTCATCCATTTGTTAAACCTATGTCTTATAGCTAAGAAACTAAATGGAAATATTACTTCTTAAGAGCAAAGAATTATTTTATTTGTATACTTTTAGCTTTTGACCACTTGAATATAGCTTCCTGGCTGAATACAAGACTATTTCCTTTAGGACTTGAGTTTTCACCTGTGGAATCAGTAAGTGAATATTAGAAAATAATTTATTATGGGGGATTTATACAGAAAGGATAACAGTATTCATAAGATTATATATACCTTCTTGAAACAGAAGATATTCTTAGTACCCACAAAATGATGGTCCAGTATGTTCTTCAATTGCTATTATTACATGTCAAAGTGATGTGGAAAAGAATATTGTTCCAGGACAAAATTTATTCAAACCTATGGCTTTCATGTCATTATTCCTATGCAAAGATTTGAGGTAGCATTTTGCTCCGTTTGCTTTTCTTCCATTCTTTTTCTATTCAGCAACATTTCATAGGTCTTTATGATTGAGAGGCAAAAATTACACACTCATGATTGGTGTATTGATATTTCTGCTATAAATTGGGGAATAGTTTGGAGATCGTTCTCATTCTTTAATCCTATAATCCCATTTTTGGAAATGTATTCCTAGGAAAACAACTCTAAGAGAAAGAAACTGAGCAGTTATTACTAAAATATTTAGGGTGATTTCTACAAAGTAGCACATGCCTAATTGAATTGAATATAATATTTGGAAATGTTATAGAAATGATATTGAAGAAAATAAAACAACACAAAGTAATATATACACACCAGCTACATCCATTAAAAGGGAGAGATATACTTGTTGATAAGAATTAAGAAGAGAATAGAATTATATGACTTGTTGATCTTAAGTTTGTGGACTCCTTTTCAGATAAAGATGTTTTAAACATATACATTAAAAATTCAGCTATTGTGGCTGGGTGTGGTGGCTCATGCCTGTAATCCTAGCACTCTGGGAGGCTGAGGCGGGCGGATTGCTCAAGGTCAGGGGTTCAGAACCAGCCTGAGCGAGACTCCATCTCTACTAAAATAGAAAGAAATTAATTGACCAACTAAAAATATATATACAAAAAATTAGCTGGGCATGGTAGCAATGCCTGTAGTCCCAGCTACTTGGGAGGCTGAGGCAGTAGGATCTCTTGAGCCCAGGAGATTGAGGTTGCTGTGAGCTAGGCTGATGCCATGGCACTCACTCTAGCTGGGGCAACAAAGTGAGACTCTGTCTTAAAAAAATAAAATTCAACCATTGTAACAAATAACAATTGATAAAAGAGAAAACAGTTAATTTAGATTGAGAAATGTTTGAGAATGAGCAATATTATTATATATGCCTATGCAAAGGAAATTTAAGGAATGTGTGAATGGTGAAAACTTCGGTGTCATACCTGAGAAAAGACTTAGTATTTATATGGAAAGAAGACAACTTTTGAACCTGAAACATATAAGTTACCAAATAGAAATTATTTCTAACAAATGTTGTACAACTTTACTCTAATAGGCCAAGGAGTGTGGCCAGATGCAGAATAAGTGGCTGATGATAAACATTCAGAATGTACAAGACTTTGCATGCCAGTGCCTCAACCGTGATGTATGGAGCAATGAAGCCGTGAAGAATATTATCCGGGAGCATTTCATTTTCTGGCAGGTGAGAAGGACAGTTAATCAAAATTTTTATAGCATTTTCCTTTTGTTGTATGTGCTGGGAGGAGAAACTGGGTTATAAACTGGAGAAAAATTAATAACTGAATTAAATTATGAGATACAAAAAAGTAAAACTACCCATAAAGGCTGAAATAGTAAAGTGAGTAAAGGCAAATGAAAGAGCAACAATTAAGAACTCCCAGCCAGTCATGGTGGCTCACCCCTATAATCCTAGCACTCTGGGAGGCCAGGGTGGGCGGATCGCTCAAGGTCAGGAATTTGAAACCAGCCTGAGCAAGAGCGAGACCCTGTCTTTACTAAAAATAGAAAGAAATTAATTGGCCAGCTAAAAATATATATAGAAAAAATTAGCTGAGCATGGTGGCTCATACTTGTAATCTCAATTACTGGGAGACTGAGGCAGCAGGATTGCCTGAGCCCAGGAGTTTGAGGTTGCTGTGAGCTAGGCTGACACCACGGCACTCTCTCTAGCCTGGGCAACAGAGTGAAACTCTGTCTCAAAAAAAAAAAGAACTCCCAAGGGAGGAATGAAAAAAAAAACACCAAGCCATACAAACCACATAATATTCATATCCCATAAGAGTTTAAATGTGTTGATAGATTCTACAACTGTACTGTTCAATATAAATATAATATATGCCACATATGTAATTTAAATTTGTGTTATAGCCACATTAAAAAAGATGAAAAGAAATTGGTGAAATTAATTTTAGTAATATATTTTGCTTAAATCAGTAAAGCCATCATATAACTAAGATAAAAATATTAATGAGATGGTTTGCTGCTTTAAGACATGGTGTGTATTTTATACTTACAGCACATCTCAGTTTTGACTGGTCACATTTTAAGTGCTTTAATAGCCCAGGTGACTACTGGCTACTATATTGGAAAGTGCAGGTGTAGAAGATCTTGAAAATTGTAGAAGTCAGGCCGGGCACGGTGGCTCACGCCTGTAATCCTAGCACTCTGGGAGGCCGAGGCGGGTGAATTGCTCGAGGTCAGGAGTTCGAAACCAGCCTGAGCAAGAGCGAGACCTCGTCTCTACTATAAATAGAAAGAAATTAATTGGCCAACTAATATATATTTAAAAAATTAGCTAGGCGTGGTAGCTCATGCCTATAGTTCCAGCTACTTGGGAGGCTGAGGCAGGATGATTGCTTGAGCCCAAGAGTTTGAGGTTGCTGTGAGCTGGGCTGACGCCACGGCACTCACTCTAGCCTGTGCAACAAAGCAGACTCGTCTCAAAAAAAAAAAACAAAAAAAAAACTGTAGAAGTCAAATTGATAACATTTGACTAAGGCTTGACTTTGTTACCCCCATATATTCTTAAACATGTCACTTAGTTCTTCTGGCTCTAGATTTTTATTTATTTTTTTGAGGATCTTGCTCTGTTGCCTAGGCTGGAGTGCAGTGGCACCTTCATAATGCAGTGCAACCTCAAATTCCTGCGCTCAAGCAATCCTACTGCCTCAGCCTCACAAGTAGCTAAGATTACAGGTGTGCACTATGATGCCAGGCTAATTTTTTAAAAAAAATTTTTGTAGAAATGGGATCTTGCTGTGTTGCCCAAGCTGGTTTTGAACTCCTGGCCTCAAGCAATTCCCCACCTTGGCTGAATAAAATAGAAGAAATTTACCATTAAAAAATATTGAATTTAATATAGGCCAGACTTGGTAGTTATGCCTGTAATCCTAGCACTCTGGGAGGCCGAGTGGGTGGATCGCTCAAGGTCAGGAGTCCAAAACCAGCTGAGCAGCTCGACCCTGTCTCTACTAAAAATAGAAAGAAATTAATTGGCCAACTAAAAATAATAGAAAAAAATAGCCAGGCATGGTGGCATGCCTGTAGTCCCAGCTACTCGGGGCTGAGGCAGGAGGATTGCTTGAGTTCAGGAGTTTGAGGTTGCTGTCAGCTAGGCTGACGCCGTGGCACTCTAGCCTGGGCAACAGAGTGAGACTTTGTCTCAAAAAAAAAAAATATATAATATATATATCAGGCACATCAAAACATTAATAGCACATCTTGCAGTAGAACAAATTAAGTTTCTTTGTAATTTTATTTTCTGTAATTTTTCCTAAAAGAAAAATTGATATAGATCATCAAGATCATCTAACTCTAGCTTGTTAATTTAATAAAAGAAATTAGAGGACCAGACACAGTAGCTCACGCCTGTAATCCTAGCACTCTGGGACCGGGGCAGAAAGATTGCTTGAGCTCAGGAGTTCGAGACCAGCCTGAGCAAAAGTGAGACTTGTCTCTATTATAAGAAAGAAATTAGCCAACAACGAAAATAGAAAAAATTAGCCGGGCATGGGGTACATGCCTGTAGTCTGAGCTATCGGAGGCTGAGGCAGGAGGATCGCTTGAGCCCAGAAGTTTGAGTTGCTGTGAGCTAGGCTGAATGCCCGGGCACTCTAGTGCAGGCAAGAGAGTGAGAATATCTCAAAAAAAAGAAGAAAAACTGGGAAGGGATTAGAACTTGTTTATTATAAGTTTCCAGACAGGGGCTGAGGGCAGGAAAGTGTTTATACCAGATGACCTTCATTTCCCTTATACAGGAGTGAGATCCTGACTCACATACCAAATGTATATTTGAAAATTAATTATTGGTTGGTGTATGACAATGTTATAGTTGCTGTTTTTTTTTTTAGAGGTGACATTTTTTAATCAATGGTTTAACAGGTTTATCATGACAGTGAAGAAGGCCAGAGATACATACAGTTTTATAAACTAGGGGATTTCCCTATGTTCCATATTGGACCCACGGACAGGTAAATTTTTATCAGCTTACAGCCTTTAACCTGTCATTGAACTTCCATCTACCTGAATGATTGGTCTTAATATTTGAATGGATCTGGTTCAGAATTGCAATAATTTAGGTGAAGATTTCTTGTTTATTCCCTTTGTAATTATTTAAACTCTGTTGCTGTGTATTATTTACGAATCTTTCTCTGGAAATTGGAAGATGGCAGTATTTTATATTTGTGAAGTTCTGTTCTTTCAAAGGATATCTGTTATGTTCATCTTATCATTTTATAAGGGATTCCCTTAGGTTTTCTATCATTAAATTAAGATTGTTCAGGTACTGGTTGTAATCCCACCAGAGAAGCAGGAGAGGCAGAAGTGGTTTTATTATTAATTGATTACATTTTATATAGATAATGTTTCTCTGAATCTCTTCTTCCTAAATATAGCAATAAGTGATTTCAGCAGTTAAGGTAGTTACCGTATCATGATGGGTGGGAATCTGTTAGATGGTTTATAATGATGTATCCTGTAGGTTATAAAGATAATGTTACTAAGCCGGTAAGGTATGTGGATATGTGTTCATAATAAATTTTAATTATGCATATTCTGAAGAAATGAATGTTCAGAAAGAAATATAGATTTTGTTGTTATATGTCCTTGTTTTGATCTTTAGGTCAGAAGCTAGTGGAGTGGCACCAATTAGATGTATCTTCTTTCTTGGACCAAGTGACAGGATTTCTGGGTGAACATGGGCAACTGGATGGATTTCTAGCAGTCCCCCAAAAATGTGCCCGTTCAAGTAAGTATAATTAGAAAGTAGTGATGGGCGGGCAGTTAATTGTACGTAAGCATCTGTGTAAAATGTATGGTGTAAGATGGTAAGATAGTAATGTAAGTATGGAAAGTTATCACTTAGGCTGTACACACATCCAAATATCCTCCTTATATTTTGATAATTTCCCACAAAAGGGTTTCATTCTTTCAATGAAACCTAAGACTCATATTCCAGTCTATTGTCAGCTTGGGTCAGGCATATGACCTAAGATCTGCATTTAGAAGGAGGCAATGTGAATATGCTGAGCAGAAGGACTGATCTGGCAAGCCTGGTGGTGGGAGACATTCACTTCCTCAGGGCAGCATTGGAAGGGCTCTGGTATCCAAGTCTAAGCAGCAATGGAAGTGGTGTATTTTTGATTTTTGTTTCTTTTTAAGAGGTGAGGTCTTGCTGTGTTGCCCAGGTTGGCCTTGAACTCCTAGGCATAAGCAATCCCTTCTGCCTCAGCCTTCCTACTAGCTGGGACTACAGATACATGCCACTTAGCCCAGCTGGAAAGTGGTGTTTTTGTTAGAAATCAAAACTTGTGGTATAGTTGGCATTATTATGGTTATAAGCTTGAGCCTGGCTCTCTGGCTCTCCTAGGGATTGTTTCTATAATATGTTGTTATTAAGCACCCTGTTGGATAATTTGTTATCAAAATTAGTTGGAAGGGCAGGGCATGGTGGCTCATGCCTGCCATCCCAGCACTTTGGGGAGGCCAAGGCGATAGGATCGTTTGAGGCCAGGAGTTCACGAGACTAGTCTGGGCAACATAGTGAGACCTCATTATCTATATCTATCTATCTATCTATCTATCATCTATCTATCTATTACTATATCATCTATCTATCTATCATCCATCCATCACATCCATCACCCATCCATCCATCCATCTCCATCCATCATCCATCCTAATCTATCTCCTCCTTCCCTCCACTCCCTCTCTCCTCCTCCTCCTCTCTCTCTCTCTGTCTCTGTCTCCTCCCCTCTCCCCCTCTCTTCTCCACCACCTATAGCTTCATAATGTCATAGAAATGAGACCCTATCTCTATGAAAATTTTTTTTAAAGTTTAACCAGGTGTGGTGGTGCCTGCCTTAGTCCCAGCTACTTGGGGCCTGAGGGCAGGAGGATCACTTGAATCCAGGAGACTGCAGTGAGCTATGATTCACACCACTACAGCTAGCCTAGGCCAACAAAGCAAGATGTTGTCTCTTAATTAGTTGTAGTAAGACATTGATATTCAAAGATACAGCAATCTCACATGGTTGAAGTGGCTGTTTGGGTTGATGGCAGTGAAGATAAAATAGTTTTGGAAGATGTGACTTTGGTAGTCCATATCATGTAGTAATGAAATAGTTCCTAGGATAAAGTGTGTATTTAAGGAAAGCATTAAAGGGTGGTATAGAATCTTTTTTA